CGGTCAGGTTGGTGCGTGGCGTTGAAGTCGTGCGTATGGTGTTTTGGCACGCTTCGGGATCTTCGAACGGTTGTCGACCAACGGGGCGTTCCCTTCAGTGGAGATGATGAATTCGTGCAGGGGCCTATGGAGAGGGAGCTTGGAGGGAGGGTCGATTCCAAAATCGTTGATGAGCCTTGGGTTTACGTTGTTCCTCCTCCTCCTCCTCCTCCTCCTCCTCCTCCTCCTCCTCATCATCATCATCATCATCTTCCTTCGCATCCTCATCATCATCATCATCATCATCATCATCATCATCATCATCATCATCATCATCATCATCATCATCATCATCATCATCATCATCATCCGCCCATCTTCCTCTGAAGTCGCCCAGGGATTTACCCAACCTCCGGAGACGTCTGGCAACACAATGTGGCGAGTTTGCCTGGACCTCCCAGGGACCACGAAGCTCGCGCGGTTGCCCGCCCCCCAGAGAGGCGAGGCGTCTTCTGGATTCGCGCAGGACACCTCCCCGCTGGACCTCCCAGGGGCCCACGGCAGTGGCGACAGCTGCGCGGCTGCCAGCGCCCAGAGAGACAAGATGTCATGTGGATGTTCGTCGTACGCCACTCCGCTTGACCTCCCAGTGGTTCACACAAGCGTTGACCATTCCGCGGTTGCCATCGCCCTGGGACACACGTAAGGGCCCTGTCCGCTTGACCCCAGGCAGGATCGCGGAAGTGGCTGCAGTTGAGGAGGAGGAGGAGGAGGAGGAGGAGGAGAGTGATGATGATGATGATGGTGATGATAATGATGATGATGTTGATGTTGAAAATGTTGATGCGAATGGTGGTGATGAAGATTTTGATGTCGATGCTGATGATGAGGAAGAGGAGCGTGGTGGTGTCGATGATAGTGAGGAGGAGGAGGGAGGAGGAGGAAGAGGAGCAGCAACAGCAGGAGGAGGAGGAAGAGGAGGAGTGCAAATCCAAGATGCATCAACGTTGTGAGAATAAACCCTCACTCCAAGTTCCCTCTTCATGGGCCCCTATAAGGGTTTATATGCACTGAGGGAAGTACCCCGTTGGAGGACAACCGTATGGAAATCCTGAACCGTGCCAGAACACCATTACTGGGATTTCAACGCCACGAATCGACGTTATTGTTGCATTATGGCGATCCTGCAGCGCACCAGATCATCATTCCTGGGACCTCAACACCGCGAATCAAGGTAATTGTTGCGTGTGTTGCGCCCCGACAGTCCTACATCGTGCCAAAACACCGTTTCTGGGACATCGACAATAAGTATCCCTGAAATTGCTGTAAGCTCGTGTGACGAATGCGCGCGGGGCTAAAGCGAGAGCCACAGTTTGAAAAGGTACCGCCCTCCGTCGGCGAAACTCCTGCAGTTGTTTTAAAGTGAAGGTGCGCGGCGCTAAGGCACGAGCCACGTGTTGAAAACGACCCGCCATCCATCCGTGAAATTGTTCCACATGTTAAGCGTAAGGACTCGAAACAGTGAGAACGTCTCAGGCGAAACGCCCGGCCCGCCCCATCGACACGCTTCGAGGCGCGACAAGGAGGAGTTATCGAGATGGAAAAGAGATGGAGGAGGAGGAGGAGGAGGAGGAAGAGGAGGAGGAGGAGGAGGAGGAGGAGGAGCAGGAGCGGGAGCAGAAGCAGGAGGAGGAGCATGAGGCGGGTGGGAAGGAGGAAGAGGAGGAGGAGGAGGAGGAGGAGGACGAGGAGGAGGAGGATAGCCTTGTCAGAGGCTCCAGGGGCTCCAGAAGAGGAGGAGGAGGAGGAGGAGGAGGCCGAGGCGGAGGACAAGTAGGAGGGCGGGAGAAGGAGGTGGAGGAGGGTGAGATTGAGGAGGGGATTCTGATCCTTCTCGCTTTTCTTGCAAAATCTGGCAAGGCCTGGCGCAAGCAGCCAATGTATGTGGGAATATCCCTCTCGTCCTATATGTCCACCTCCCGCCCTCCTCTCCGCAGCTACACATTCTGAATATTACGCTCCTCTCTCCCTTGACTCTTTCCTCAATGTGTCCCGTTCTCTGTGCATATTTGTTTTGCTACAGATTTGACAGCAGCTGTTGCTTCTCAATGTGTTTCTCCATCCGATAGTTTCCGGTGTTGTAAAATAATGTTCCCGCTGAAGCTTGTGCCTCATTATCGGAAAGGTAGTTTGCTCTCGTCGTTCAGAATGGCGCTCTCGCACCAACGCGGCCACGTGCCTGGATGAGAGTTTTTCCCAACCATCTTTTGGTGTTGGGTCCTCGTTTTGAAGAGACAGTCCCCGCGTTATTCCTCTCCTCCTCCCCCCCCTCCCCCTCCTCCCCTCCCTCCTCCTTCTTCCATGCGTTTCACCCACCCAACACAGCGTTTTGTCGCCCATGGGGAGCTCCACCCAAGCCCCCACTGGGACCGCCCGCATGCGTCCGCCACCACCCAGCACAGCCCTTGCTCCCTGCGTTCCACCCACCCAGTACAGCGCTCCGTGGCCCCATAGGGAGCTCCACCGAGTGTCCCAGTGGCACCGCCCGCATGCGTCCGCCTTCACCCAACACGGCCTTTGCTCCTTGCGCTTCGCCCACCCAGTACAGCGCTTCGTGGCCCCATAAGGGGAGTCCACCGAAGGTCCCAGTGGCACCGCCCGCATGCGTCCGCCACCACCCAGCACAACCTTTGCTCCCTGCGCTTCACCCACCCAGTACAGCGCTTCGTGGCCCCATAGGGAGCTCCACCGAAGGTCCCAGTGGCACCGCCCGCATGCGTCCGCCACCAACCAGCACAGCCTTTGTTCCCTGCGTTTCGCCCACCCAGTACAGCGCTTCGTGGCCCCATAGGGAGCCCCACCGAAGGTCCCAGTGACACCGCCCGCATGCGTCCGCCACCACCCAGTACAGCCATTGCCCCTTCCGTCTCACCCACCCAGTACAACGTTTCGTGGCCCCATAGGGAGCCCCACCGAAGGTCCCAGTGGCACCGCCCGCATGCGTCCGTCACCACCCAGTACAGCAAGTTCTCCTTTCGTTTCACCCACCCAGTACAACGCTCCGTGGCCCCATAGGAGGCCCCCCAGCCACACCATGCGTCCGCCCTGCGTTTCACCAACACCCAGTACAGGGTTCCGTGGCCCCATATGGGGGCTCCACCGAAGGTCCCACTGGCACCGCCCGCATGCGTCCGCCACCACCCAGCACAGCCTTTGCCCCCTGCGTTCCACCCACCCAGTACAGGGTTCCGTGGCCCCATAGGGAGCTCCACGGAAGGTCCCAGTGGCACCGCCCGCATGCGTCCGCCACCATCCAACAATTTGTTCCCCCGGCGCTTCACCCACCCACTACAGCGTTTCGTGGCCCCATAAAAGGGGGTCCCACCGAAGGTCCCAGTGGCACCGCCCGCATGCGCCCGCTTCCACCCAACACGGTTTTGCTCTCTGCGTTTCGCCCACCCAGTACAGCGCTGCGTGGCCCCATAAGGGGGTTCCACCGAAGCCCCCAGTGGCACCGCCCGCATGCGTCCGCCACCACCCAGCACATGTTTGCCCCCTGCGTTTCACCCACCCACTACAGCGCTTCGTGGCCCCATAGGGAGCTCCACCGAAGGTCCCAGTGGCACTGCCCGCATGCGTCCGCCACCAACCAGCACAGCCCTTTGTTCCCTGCGTTTCGCCCACCCAGTACAGCGCTTCGTGGCCCCATATGGGAGCTCCACCGAAGGCTCCAGTGGCACCGCCCGCATGCGTCCGCCACCACCCAGCATAGTTGTTGCCCCTTGCGCTTCACCCACCCAGTACAGCGTTTCGTGGCCCCATGAGGGGGCCCGCCGAAAGTCCCAGTGGCACCGCCCGCATGCGTCCGCCACCACCCAGCACAGCCCATGCTCCCTGCGCTTCACCCACCCAGTACAGCGTTCCGTGGCCCCATAGGGGGCTCCACCGAAGGTCCCAGTGGCACCGCCCGCATGCGCCCACCACCACCCAGCACATCCCTTGCTCCCTGCGTTTCACCCACCCAGTACACCGTTTCGTGGCCCCATAGGGAGTTCCACGGACGGTCCCAGTGGCACCGCCCGCATGCGTCCACCACCATCCAACACGGCCTTTGCTCATTGCGTGTCACCCGCCAAGTACAGCGCTTCGTGGCCCCATAGGAAGCACCACCGATGAAGATACTCACAGTTGCGGTATTCACAACTGCATATGGTTGGGTCTTTCGCCAGGCTAATGTTCATCGCAGTCGCCCCCCTCCTTTCCCCTCATCAGCCTTCCCCTGGTCTTCCTGCTCCTCCCGCTCATTCAATTACACTTCCCGCTGCGGCTGCTGTACGTCCTTGTCCTCCTCTTCCTTCTCCTGCATCATCGTCCTTTTCCTCCTGCTTGGTTCCCCCTTTCTGATTGCGCATTACACGATGGGGTATTGCTGGAAGTTCCAGATCGGGTAGGACATGCATCCGCAGATGACAAAAAAAGCGATGGTAAGGGATGGGCGGGAAGGGATATCACATAAGGCACGAGCGCACCTAATTTATCCTCCCCCCCACCCCCCCTCCTCGCCCCCTCCCCTCACCTCCCCTGCCCCCTCGTCCTTCTCTCCGCGCCAAGGCTACGCCGAGACCGCGCGGGCCATTGAAAGGGGTCTTTGCGTTCACGGTATCTGGAGTGTTTTTTTGCACAGGATTGCATTGTTTTTTCTTTCGTCCTCCACCCCTCGTCCTCCACCTTGTCTCCATCGCTCTATATGTGCGTATATCTATATATATATATAGAAATATAAATATACATATATGTTTATATATATATATATATATACATATCCTCGTTCTCACTCTCTCCTCGTTCTCCCTCGCTCCCCTTCGTCCTTTCTGTCGTTGTGACTCGCTCCCCCGCCTCGTCCTCCACCTCTCCTCCTCCATTGGCGCGAGGCGGGCAGCTGCGTGGGACCCGAAGAGAGGCGACGGAGAGCCAAGGCGAGCAACAAGATCAAGAATTGGCTGCATCTGCAGTGGCAGTGATGCCATCGAGCCTCGTCGTCATCCTCCGCTCCCGCTCATCCCTTCACTCCCTGTCGTCCTCCCCCTTCTCCCCCGCCAGCAGATGCTCCTCCTATCTCTCCTCCTCCTCCTCCCTCCTCCTCCTTCTTCCTCCTCCTCCTCCTCCGCCTCCTCCTCCTCGCCTCCTCGCCTCCTCCTCCTCTTCCTCTTCCTCCTCCTCCTTCTCCTCCTCCTCCTCCTCTTCCTCCTCCTACTCCTCTTCCTCCTCTTCATTATGAGTATCCTCGCCATCGTCGTCCTCACCCTGCTCCTCGTCATCCTTTTGTTTCGGTCACCGTTCCTGGTGGTCGATGTCCTAGGTGGTACTGCAGTGTACAGAGTGTACATAGCTGACGAGGGCGGAAGAAGAAAAACTGCACAAACGTAAACGTTTCGAACCTCGGACGGACTTCTTGGATCTGCGCTGGACATTCCTGGCGCCGCCGCCGTTGGCGCGCTTCGCGCGCCAGAAAGGGGGCCCAGCGCAGATCCAAGAAATCTGCGCGGAGTTCCGAAAGTTTATGACCATCCCGCTGCCTCTTCTTCCAGGGGGCGCCTCTCCCTCGTGGAAACTGCTTTTTCACTACCTGCTTCTGCTCGGCCTCGGCGCGAGCCCCCGCGCGGCACCGGCGGGAGCGGGAGAGCGACTCTTCTGAGGACCCCGCCTTGGCGATGTCGGGGGACAGCGTCCAGTTCCCTGTGAGGATATCTCGTGGGGGAGCCCCCGACGCCCTTGTGCTCCTCTGCCCTCGCCCAGCTTCAGTGCTACGATGGCGGCGATCGTGGAGGAAAGTACCCAGGAGGCTACAGACCCTGGAGGAATTTTGTCTGATGAGGGCGGCGGTGAGATCCGTGGCCAAGCCTCGGTTGATGTTCCACCAGGCGTCTGGACCCTGGATTATTCCTCCAATGGTTCCTTATCCAATGCCTTCATTGTAGATGTTTATGGTGGCCTGCGCCCTTCCGCCGGCTCCCTGGAGTCCGCCGGCTCCCTGGAGTGGTGGGATGTCCACGAGTCGCAGGGACGAGGTACGGGGATGCTGCGTCTCCGTCTGGTGCGTGTGTGAGGGCCGGAGCGTCACTCGCACGGAGGGCACCCACGGGTTCACCACGAGGGCTAAGGCGGATTTCTGTCTCTTCATCTCCGCCTCGCTTCAATTGTTGTCTTCCTCTAGGAGAAGAGGAGGAGGAGGAGGAGGAGGAGGAGGAGGAGGAGGAGGAGGAGGAGGAGGAGGAGGAGGAGAAGGAGGAGGAGGAGGAGGAGGCGGCATAGCAGCAGCAGCAGCAACAGCGGCAGCAGCACGCGGGGAGAAAACCCCCGCGAATAAACGATTTCTATGGGCTTACGCCACGTCCGCCGACCCCTTGATGTAGTCGGGGACCTTCTATTGCCATCCTGGGGCCTTCTTGTGTCGTCTTCGGTTTTTTGTGGCGGGCTCGAGGCTCTCCTGGGCCCTCTCTGAGCTTTTCTGGGGCGTTGGGGGCCGTTCAGGGGACGAATCTCACACGTCTGGAGATCCAGAAGGGGTTGGCGGATGACGGGAAGCGTCTTCGAGGAACGAGAAGCGAGCTGGACGTTTTGGCTGAATCCTCCTCATATCAGTGAGAGATCTCTTAATTATAGGGGGTGGCGGGGTGCACGGTATGGAGGCTTAGCGGATGACGGGAAGCGCGCTTAGACTCGAAGAGTCGCGCGATGGACGTTGGTGCAGACCCGGAGGGAAATATTTATCAACTGGGGGGAGTGCAGAGGGGGGAATGGCTCGAGATCGCTCCGTGGTCAGACCCAGGCGGATTCCCCAGAATGGCCATTTCGCCTGAGACTTCCTTACAAAATGGAGATGTCGGAGGCTATCGTTTAAGACGTTTTATGTTAAAAATGGCGATGTCGCCTGAGACATCCTCACAAAATGCGGATGTTGAAATCGGACGCGAAATCTTCGGATCTTCGACAATGGGGCTCTCGCTTGAGACATCCTCGAAAAAGTGGGATGTCGAAAAAGCTGATGTCAGACCTCTTATGCCAAAAATGAGCGTTTCGCCTGAGACATTCTCAGAAAATTGAGATGTTGAAATCGTTTGTGAAACCTTCGGATTTTCGAAAATGCCGATTTCGCTTGAGACATCCTCCAAAAAATGAGATGGCGAAGTAGCTGTTGTACGGCATCTTTGGGGGATGCTCTTGGAGGACCTCCAAGATGGCCTCAAAGGCAAAATCATTGAAAAACCATTGGTTGTTCAATACTTTTGCTCAAAAGTAAGCAAAAGTAAGCGTTTCGCTCGACACTTCCTTAAAAAAGTACTTGCCCCCAGCAGGTGGAGTTCACTCCCCGCGCGAGTTCAGCCCTCCCTGATGATAGCGATGAGGTTGATGACGGTAATGATGATGATGATGATGATGATGATGATGATGATGATGATGATGATGATGATGATGATGATGATGATGATGATGATGATGATGATGATGATGATGATGATGATGCTGATGATGATGATGATGATGATGATGATGATGACGACGGTGATGCTGATCATGATCTCGCCGTGGGTGTCAGCGCCAATTCTGAACTCGCGCGGGTAGTGAACTCCACCTGGTGCCTTTGGTGGACGTGCGGGGTGAGCGGCACGTCTGAACTCGCGCGGGTCGTGAACTCCATCTGGTACATTTTTTGTGGATGTTCGGGGTGAGCGCCACGTCTGAACTTTCGCGGGTAGTGAACTCTATCTGGTCCCTTTGGGGACGTTGTGGGTGAGCGGCACGTCTGAACTTGCGCGGGTAGTGAACTCCATCTGGTACCGTTTGTGGACGTTCGGGGTGAGCGCCACGTCTGAACTTGCGCAGGTAGTGAACTCCACCTGGTACCCCCTGTGAACGTTTGGGAAGAGCGCCTACGTGACATGTGACTTTAATGTTGGTGCACGTTCTTGCCAAGCTCTTCGATTTCACGCGCTTCCCGTTCATGTCAAGAAAGGTTCCCCAGAATGGCCATTTCGCCTGAGACATCCTCACAAAATGGAGATGTCGGAGGCTATCGTTTAAGACGTTGTATGTTAAAAATGACGATTCCGCCTGAGACATCCTCACAAAATGCGGATGTTGAAATCGGACGCGAAATCTCCGGATCTTCGAACATGGGGCTCTCGCCTGAGACATCATCGAAAAAGTGGGATGTCGAAAAAGCTGCTCTATTTATGCCAACAATTAACGTTTCGCTTGAGACATCCTCAGAAAATTCAGATGTTGAGATCGCTTGCGAAACCTTCGGATCTTCGAAAATGTCGATTTCGCTTGAGACGTCCTCCAAAAAATGAGATGCCGAAGTAGCTGTTGTACGGCATCTTTGGGGGATGCTCTTGGAGGACCTCCAAGATGGCCCCAAAGGCAAAATCATTGAAAAACCATTGGTTTTTCAACACTTTTGTTCAAAAGTAAGCGTTTCGCTCGAGACATCCTCAAAAAATACTCGCCCACAGCAGGTGGAGTTCACTCCCCGCGCGAGTTCAGCCCTCCCTGATGATAGCGATGAGGTTGATGACGGGGTCTTCTTGGAACGCTTGTGGGGTTTCTTTGGAGCCTCTTGCACCGTCTTGGAGGTATCTGGGTCAGGGAGGCCCGCGTTGTAACAGTTTGTCCGCCTCCAGCGCCGCTTTCAGTTCTGAGGTGGTTCACTGTTCTTTAGGTTTTGCTTTGTCGCCACTTTCGCTTTCCGGTAGGTTGTATAGATCTACGTTAGAGAAAGCAAAACCCTTTTGGATATCAGTGTAAAGCAATGTCTCAACTTGCGCGGCTAGTGAACCCTATCTGGTATATTTTAGGGAGTTCGGGTGAGGGCCACGTCTGAACTTGCGCGGGTAGTGAACTCCACCTGGTACCCCTTGTGCACGGTCGGGAAGAGCGCCTAGGCGACATGCGACATCAATGTTGGTGCACGTTCTTGCCAGGCTCTTCGATTTCACGCGCTTCCCGTTCATGTCAAGATAGGTTCCTCGGGATGGCGATTTCGCGTGAGACATCCTCACCAAAATGAGATATTCGCGACATCGCGTTTAACACAAACAAGCGTTTCGCTCGAGACATCCTCGAAAAGTTGATGACTGCGAAATTTCGCCGTCTGTGAAAATTTGCGTTTCGCTTGGGACATCCTCGAAAAAATGAAATGACGACTGAAGTCTTCAACTAACTCTTATGTTAAGAATTGCGATTTCGCTCTGGACATCCTCAAAAAACGAGCGGCAGCACGGCGGACCAGAACGAAGAGCACGGCAGAAAATTTGCATTTCGCTAGGGACATCCTCAACAAAAGGAGATGTCTTCAACGTCGTCTTGATATCGTTCTCGAAGTACCTCAAGATGACGAAATGAGATGCCAACATGATGGACCCACGAACCCGGAAAGGGATATAGAACCGCATGCATGGAAACGCTTTCACGACACCGTATTGGGCGACGGGCACTTCCACGAGACACCCCGCGAAACATTCCACGAGACACAGGCGACCGTTTTCAACGTCTTCCTGGAAACATTCCACGAGACACTCCGCGAAACAGTCCACGAGACACCTCACGAAACATTCCACGACGACAGGCAACCACTCAACCAAGGCGGTGTGGTCGTGCTGGGGAGTGGTCGTGCTGGGGGGTGGTCGTGCTGGGGGGTGGTCGTGCTGGGGGGTGGTCGTGCTGGGGGGGTAGTCGTGCTGCGGGGTGGTCGTGCTGGGGCGTGGTCGTGCTAGGGCGTGGTCGTGCCAGGGCGTGGTCGTGCTGGGGTGTGGTCGTGCTGTGGTGAGGTCGTGCTGGGGTGTGGTCGTGCTGGGTGATGGTCTTGCTGTGGTGGGGTCGTGCTGGGGTGGGGTAATGCTGGGGTGTGGTCGTGCTGGGGTTTGGTCGTGCTGGGGTGGGGTCGTGCTGGGGTGGGGTCGTGCTGGGGTGTGGTCGTGCTGGGGTGCGGTCGTGCTGGGGTGGCCCGCACCCTGTGATT